GGATTGATTCTTGTTCAGTAAATTGAAAAAAAGGAGTCTTAAATTTGTTAAGCTGTTGTGACCTTTTCTTTTTTCACTTGGTGTTTTATAAATTAGTGTTTATAAAACTATTTATGGGAAATGCTACGGTCCCGTTACGGAATCATTCCGTCGGGGTTTGTAACCCGATAGATCAACTATCCCCTTTAGTGGTTACAAATCTCGACGGAATGGTTGGATGGTAGTATCTCCCACTATTTTTCCCTAAAACTATTTTTTCCTGTGAATGAATGCAACAGTCTCCTTGTAAATATATAAACCAAACGAACCAACTCTCAACCAAAGACTACTTAGACCACAAAAGAATCACAAAACCCCCAAATGCAAATTAGGTGCATGCAAACATCAAATCTCATAGCCACACTCAAAAAAACCTGCAAAACCTCCGCCCAAGTCCACCAAGTCCATGCCCAGGCAATCACCGGAGGCCTCTTCTCTCTCCACCCCACGTTCCTCCTCACTCAAATCCTTCACTCCTTCGCATCTTCTCCACACTCTCACACCACCACCACTCACCCCAACCACGCCACAATCGCCTACCTCACCAAGATTTTCAGTCTCATCCCAAACCCGTCATCTTTCGACTGTAATGCCATCATTCGAGCGCACACCCACCTAAGCTCCCCGTCCACCGCCCTGGATTTCTACACCCAAATGCGCCGGCGATCAATCCCGCCGGATTTTCACACCTTCCCTTTCGTCCTCAAAGCCTGCGGGCTATCCGGGGACCCGCATTCGCTCGCCGGGAATCTCCACTCGGAGCTGCTCAAGTTCGGGTTCTCGGCCGATCTTTTCGTGCACAACGCTCTCGCCTGCGCATACTCCAAAGGCGGCGACTTTGGCCTCGCGCAGAAGGTGTTCGAAGAAAGTCTGTCTAAAGACGTGGTGAGCTACAACGTCATGATTGACGGGCTAGTTAAAATCGGCGAGGTTGACAGAGCAAGAAACGTGTTCGATGAAATGCCCGAGAGAGATTCAGTTTCATGGGCCACACTTTTGGCAGGCTATGCAAAGTCGACCAGGTGTGCCGAGGCCGTTGAGCTGTTTGACCGTATGGTGGGGTCAAAGGTGGGGCTCGACAACGTTGCTCTCGTTTCGGGCCTCTCAGCCTGTGCTCAATTGGGAGATCTCGAAAAAGGCAAGAAAATACACGATATCATTAGAAGGAACAGACTTAAAGTAGACTCGTACTTGGGCACAGCACTGGTCGACCTGTACGCGAAATGCGGACAGATCAAGACGGCGGAGGAGGTATTCGTGTCGTGCGGGCTAAAAAACGTGTCTTTATGGAATGCAATGCTCGTGGGCCTAGCCGTGCATGGACACGGAAAACAATTGCTGGATTATTTCTCAAGAATGGTAAAAAACAGAGTGAAGCCCGGTGGGGTGACGATTCTTGGGGTTCTAGTGGGCTGCAGCCACTCGGGCCTGACAAATGAGGCCCGCAAAATATTTTCCGAGATGGAGGATGTATACAAAGTCCCGCGGGAGCTGAAGCACTACGGGTGCATGGCAGATCTTCTAGGGCGCGCGGGGTTGATAAACGAGGCAATGGACATGATAGAAAAAATGCCGATGAGGGGGGATGTGTTCGTGTGGGGAGGATTGCTCGGCGGGTGTAAAATACACGGGAATCTTGAAATTGCCGAGAGGGCTGCCGATCGTGTGATGCAGGTTAGACCTGAAGACGGTGGGGTGTACTCGGTTTTGGCTCACATGTACGCGAATTCGGGAAGGTGGGATGATTTGGTGAGGGTGAGGAAATTGAGGGATTGTAGGTGGGGACTGAAGAAGGTGGCCGGTTGTAGTTCGATCGAGGTGGATGGGATTACGCACGAGTTTGTTTCGGGGGATTGCTTGCATCCTTGTACTGAGGAGATACACTGGGTTTTGAATGGATTGGAGCTGCACCAGTATGAAGGGGCCTAGGCATTTCATTCATGTAATGGGTATTGTTTTTCTTTCATGGTGTGTGTGGTTTTGCTAAAGTTCTGCATATGCAAATTCTAAAGGCGCCATTTTTGAGACTCTTAATAGGTCTTCTAAATTCTTTTAAAACTTTCATGGTTTATTTTGTATCAGACTCCTTGTTAGGTAAGGGGAGTTTTTAGGCACTTGGGAAGCAACGGTTTTAGAGTTTAGATTGTCATCCACATCACATCATGTCTCTATATGTTGAACGAGGTAAATGTTAATATTTTATGGATTTGAATTATTTTTCATGACTAAAAATAGAAACATTAGATAGCTGCTTTTAAAATTTGTGTTGTAAGAGTCAAATTCATTTATGATTAGAAATTTGGGAAATGCTACGGTCCCGTTACGGAATTATTCCGTTAGAGTTTGTAATCATTAGATCATCATGTAACCGTCGGAGATAGTTGATCTAACGATTACAAATCCCGACGAAATGGTTCCGTAATACCTCCCTAAAATATGTAAACAACTTATTAAATTCATTATTTCTTTTAATTTTTTCTTTCTGCTACAAAAACATACGTGTCACCCTCGTGTTCCCCATGGTGATGCTGTACCTTCCTTTTTCTGCCACGTACCCCTTTTCTGCATGCCACATTACTAGAATCAACCTCTTTATCCTATTTTTTCCTATAAAAATTAAAGCCAAAACTACCATCTTTCCGAACATCAACAAGCATATTTCTCCTTTGTACTACGAAAATCACTCTCAATCATAACTTGTGGTTTTGTTGCATCAATTATCAAAGAATGGCTTTGAGGACAGCGGTAAGCATTCGAATCACACTGTTAGATGATTTTCTTGTTCTTTGAATGACAATGGAACTTCATTTCAAACTGCCAGAAGAAGCAGATAATCATCGTCACTTCAATCTTGCGTTTGGTTTTGCAGGTTGCTTACTGGAAATCAATGGCTGGTTTGCCGGGAAGTTCGAAATTTACTACGTTGGGTGCTCCGAAGATGAGCGCTTACGCCCCCACAGCAGACCATTCCCTAGCCTCTGCAGAAGGCTTCAAGACCAAGTATATTTTATTTTTTTATTTATTTATCGAAAGCTTAATTAGAGACATTTTTAATTTTGTTCAAGTAAATAATAACGATCTCTGTGCAGGTCAAAGATGCGTGGAGAGTTCATGGCTGTTTATGTGTTGCTTGGCTTTATAGCCCTGCAGATGGGGTTCGGGGTGTTCACGGTGTTCCACCAGATGGCCCGTGCCCCGAACGTGGCCCTGAAGAAGTCGAGAAGGGAGACTATCCCGGAAGTTGTGGAGCCCGAGCGGGTGGCCGAGGATGGGGAAAAGTTCATCAAGCAGTCGTTTTTCCGCAAGATTGCCCACATTCAGGACTTCGACCGGCAGGAGATCATGGACGACCCCATTCGTGGCGACGTTTTTGCCAGGTGGACAATTACGATTATTCTCAACGAATTAATAATGGATTATGCGCGCGTGTGGCCCGTGATTGGGCTCTTTAACTTGGATTGTGCTGTTTGCAGGCCCGTTCGTGTTGAGTCGTTGAAAGATGTGGGAGTTGAGGTGAAACCTCATTGATCAACACGCGAATTAGATGAATGGTGGGAGTTGTGATGAATGGTGGGAGTTGTGGCATTTTTCGTTCCACGTCTATGTTAGTGTTGAACAGTTATAGCTAAGTTGGTTGAGGACTTTCCTCAACAACACTTGCAGCTTATGTTATAACCTATAACCTAGTTCCTTTTATGCATTCCATCCCTTTTTATGGCATTGTTCTTGGTTTTATACGTCTTTTTCGCCATTCAAGTAATTGTTTGTCTACATTATACATGCCTATGTTATGTGTTAGATATTCGGTGTGAAATTACACGGTAATCTTATGAACTGATATGTAATTTTTAGTTCTTACAAATAATCTAAAGATAGAAAATTACAATTGAATTGAAAAAATAAATTACGACTGAAAAAACGGAAAGATTTTAGTCGATGCGAGTAAAACTCTTTCCTAAAATTCTTTCCGCAAGAAGAATACGCTTCATGTGTCAGCTAACGGTTCAGGCGTAATTTCCTTAAAGATACAACGGGAAACGTCTCTAAATCTGTAGCACACTAAATTTACGAGTTCCGGCGAACGGGAACGGAGTCGAGAATTGTGCACTTAAAAATAAAAGGAATATTCTGAAACAAATAAAAATATCACTTATTTCTTCTCTTTTGATTTATATATGATATTTGGATATATATCTATGTTTCTTATCTTCTCTTTCTTTCTTCTCTTTTGTGCACCTCTCTCTTCTTGCCCGAGAGGAGTTATAGGTTGAGAAGTTTGCCAATTGACAATTAAATTGTAATTTAAAATATTGATCCACCTTCTTTAACACCTTCTTTATTAAAAAAAAAAATTGATCAATTGTATGTGGGCAATCCGGAGAAGCATATGGGAAGTGGGATGCATGTGGGAAGATGCATGTGGGAAATGGGAGGAAGCATTTTGTGATCTTTTTCTTTTTCTAACAATCCCCACAAAAGATAAAGTAAAAAAAACACACACACACATACTGACTTTTGTACTCAATCCTCACAAAACTCTATTGCATCAGAAAATGTAGCTTTTGGCTTTGAACTTCTCTTAGTAAACATCATCGGATGTACTGGCGGCCTAGTGGACATAATGCCTTGAACTATTCCTTCATAGTGTACACCAAGACGATGACATTCGCACAATAAAGTCTTAACTTCATTCCGTTCTATCGTTGTGTACGTTTTGACCATGGACAACACAATAAATTCATAAGTGTTTACATTCGAAGCGGCCCACACTTCACACTTATATAGGTGACCTCCTATCAAGAGTATCCTGTACTCCACCTTTACAAGGTTAGGGATTCATTAAAAGTCCAAATGACTTACCCTTACCACAATCAACAGGTAATCTTGCACTTGGTGTGCTCTAGGGAATAGCTTTGGACATTCATATGTTCCAAGTGCTCGACTGAATTTTCATAGCTTAGTTTTCCCTTTGAACCAAGTTTGTGGGATCTCCACTCAGCATGGTAGGGTTACAACTATGATCATTCTTTACATTGTGGATTTTTAAGCTCATTCCCTATAGCAAAACTGTCAATTGATCTCTATTCAATCCTTTCGTCAAAGGATCGGCCAAATTTTCCTTAGACTTCACATAGTCAATGGAAATAATACCGTTTGTGATCAATTGACGTACGGTATTATGTCTACGACGAATATGTCTAGACTTACCGTTATACAAGTTGCTTTGCGCCCTACCTATAGCTGCTTGGCTATCACACTGAATCATTACAGGCGGCAAAGTCTTGTCCCAACATGGAATATCGAAAAAAAATTTCTAAGCCACTCGGCTTCTTCACCAGCTTTATCTAAAGCGAGGAACTCTGATTCCATCGTTGACCGAGCTATACACGTTTGTTTTGTGGATTTCCACGAAACTGCACCTCCTCCATTGCAGAAATATATCCGTTAGTGGAGCGAGAATCTCTCGAATCTGATATTCAGCTTACATCACAGTACCCTTTAAGTATGGTTGGATATCTCGAGTATTTTAGCCCGTATTCAAGGGTATACCTTAAGTACTTAAGTACCCTTCTCAAAGCATTCCAATGTTCATGACTGGGATTGCTCGTAAATCTGCTCAACTTATTCACATATTAGGCCAAGTCTAGTCGTGTACAATTCGTCAAGTACATCAGACTCCCTATTATTCGTGAATATTCCAACTGAGACACTGGTTGACCTTTGTTGACTTCCAGATTTATACTGAGATCATGGGGTGTCTTACACCTAGTCTGTGCACTGTCATAGGTATCAAATTTCTTGAGCACTTTCTCTACATAATGAGATTATGACAAGACAATTCCATCTTGGGTTCTAATAATCCTTGTTCCAAGAATAACATCAACCAAACCCATATCTTTCATTTCGAAATTTCTTTTCAACATTCTTTTCGTATCCATGATCACTTCATGACTACTCCCCATGATCAACATATCGTCTACATATAGACATACAATCACAAATGTATTTGTTGTACTCTTGACATAAACACATTTATCACATTCGTTGATTTTGAAATCATTTGTCAACATCACGTCATCAAATTTCAAATGTCATTGTTTCGGAGCTTGTTTCAATCCGTACAAGGATTTGATCAATCTACACACCTTTCTCTCTCGTCCAGGTGCAACAAACCCTTCAGGTTGTTCCATGTATATTTCTTCTTCCAATTCACCATTCAAAAATATCGTTTTGACATCCATTTGGTGAATCTCAAGATTGTGCACAGCAGCAATCGAGAGAAGCACTCTTATCGACGCTAAACGCGTAACAGGTGAATAGGTATCAAAGAAATCATACCCTTCATTTTGTTTAACGCCTTTGACCACCAATCTTTCTTTAAGCTTATCAATCGATCCATCAGCTTTATATTTTCTCTTTAGGATCCACTTGCATCCTAAAGGTTTACAACCATCAGGGAGATCAACCAACTCCCACGTATGATTTTACATAATGGACTCGATTTCGCTATTTACAGCTTCTTCCCAGAGTGGTCCATCTGGGCTGGACAGAGCTTCCTTAAGGGAACTCGGTTCGTTGTCCAACATGTACGTAATAAAATCAGGTCCAAACGTTTTAGCCGTTTTTACCCTTTTACTACGTCTCGCTTCTTCATTAGTACCCTCTGGTACAGAACCACTAGCAGTTTCATACGTTCTTTTATTATAACTAGATTCTGCCATTTCCTTCATAAGAAAAACATTCTCAAAGAATATAGCATTCCTTGACTCAATCATGGTACCAACAGATACCTCTGGATTTTCTGATTTATGAACCAGAAATCTATATGTTGTACTATAGTATGCATATCCAATAAATACACAATCGACCGTCTTTGGCCCGATTCTCATTTGTTTTGGTCCAGGTACTGAAACCTTAGCCAAATACCCCCACACTTTCAGGTATTTATAAGCGGCTTACGATTTTTCCACATTTCGTAAGGAGTCTCATCTTTCCCTTTAGGTGGTATTTTATTCAGGATATGATTTGATGTCAAAACAGCTTCCACTCACATGTTCTGTGGTAATCCTGAATTAACCAACATGGCATTCATCATTTCTTTTAAAGTTCAGTTTTTGCGTTCAGCAACACCATGCGACTGTGGAGAATAAGGGGCTGTCGTTTGAAGAATTATGCCATATTCAAAACATATTTGTTCAAAAGGAGATACATACTCCCCACCCCTATCACTTTGGATTATTTTAATCCTTTTGCCGAGTTGATTTTCAACTTCGGTCTTATATATCTTAAACGCTTCCACAGCCTCATCTTTGCTTCTTAACAAATATAAGTAGCAAAACCTGGTGCAATCATCGATAAAAGTTACAAAATACTTTTTACCGGTTCTTGTTTGCACACTTTTCATATCCCATACATCAGTATGGATTAAGCCTAATGGTTGAGTACTTCTTTCCACCGAGTGAAAAGGCAACTTATCCAATTTTGCTTCAATACAAATTTCACATTTTGTATTTGTCTCAACTTTAGAATGAGGAATTAATTCTAATTTCATCAACCGTTTAATTGAATTTAGATTTACATGTCTCAATCTAATATGCCATAAATCAGAGCACTCAACATATAAACATAAATAGGCTTTTTTTTATCAACGGTTACACGGCTCACGGGAATTACATTCATTTTGAACAATCCTTTGTCGAGACAACCACGACCAAGGAATTTTCCACATTTGCTAAGAATAAACTTTTTAGTTTCAAACACTAGCCTAAATCCATGCTCAACAAGAAGTGATCCGGAGACCAAATTCTGGCGGATGTCTGGGACATGCAGAACATCCTTCAGCTTCAATTCCTTTCCAGAAGTGAGCTTCAGCACCACCGTGCCCACTCCAGCCACATCAGACGTGGAGGAGTTTCCCATGTGAAGTTTTCGACCCGTAGCAGGAGTGTTGTAACGCCCCAAAGATTATTAAAGACAATTCCAGATTTATCCAAAAATCTTGTTT